GGTTGAGGGAATGTGTAAAAGGGATCTCAAAGCGACTTTTGTGTCAGAGATGGAAGGACGGAAACGCGCGAGACAAAGCGAGGCCAGTTACTGTCCCATGTGCATCTCCCCCCTCCCAAAACTGTGACTCTTTTGCCCGAATCCTAATGGGGAGGTGAGAAGCCGCATTGTGCACTGAGCTGGAGAAAAAGGGAATGAAATAGGCTGGTGGGGTTTGGGGGGGGGATCGTAGTCGGCCCCCCGCAAAAAAAAAAATATGAAATGTGGAATCTAATTAAGTTCTCTTGTTCTCTTTTGTGAGGAGGAAGGGAGGGGGCTTTTTTTCCCCTGCCCTCTCTAAAAGCCCTCCCTTTAAAGGCGGGAGCGGGGGTGGGGTGGGCCGCGAGTTCCCGCGCGTTGTCTGGTGTTCCGCGTGGCTGGTTCCACGAGGACAAAGAGTTAAAAAACGGGTGACTCGGGGAGCGATTCCAATACATAATGAGAAGAAATGGAAACTGTAGCAAAGAAACAACATTTTAGGGCAAAAGGGTTCCTTCTCCCTGCCCCCCATGCGAGATACTGTGTAACGGATGGGGGTGGAAAGGAAGTGGGAAGGAGAGTTTGCAATGTTGTGGCAAAAGGGTGGAGTCTGGTTGGGGCGGGGCAAGAACTCCCTAGCGCTCTAGGGCAATGCTGGATAGAGGAAAAGAGCCCCACCCGTGGCTCCCATTGTCCATCATTTTCCCCCTTGCCTTCTCGCACCTCCCACAGGCTCGCTCTATAGTGAGTTCTTCGGGATGGGTGGGTAGCAGCTGCAGTGCCATTTTCTTTGTGCGCATCGGAGGGGCGTTGCCTGATGGAGGGAGAAAGGGGGGGCCACAGTGACATTTGTCTTTTCTAGCCAGAGATTCAGGCATCTGGCCTCTACTCTCCTACTGGATTACCTGAAATGAGTCGGTCTCCTTCAGCCCTATTATCTCATACGTTTATAGGGCAGGATAATCCTGTAACAAGCTTCCTGTGCTGTACCATCTGTTCCGGGGGGGGGGGGGAATCTCCAGGGTTTTTTTAGGTGAAAAAATGTGACCCCTGGATTGAACGGAGAATTTTGGGATTGAGAGCCTATCATGAGAGTGGGGGAGAATTTTTAATCGATTCTTCTTCTCAACTCTTTACTCGTCTATCTGCCTAGTTCTGGGAGGTGATCAGTGATGAACATGGCATCGACCCCACCGGCACCTACCATGGAGACAGTGACTTGCAGTTGGACCGGATCTCTGTCTACTACAATGAGGCCACTGGTGAGGGGCAGGGAGGGAACTCTCCCCTCTATTCTGCCTTCTGAAATGCGAGAAAACCATTTGCCCGTGGGAGACCCTTTCTCCACTTCCCGCAGGCTCTGTTCATCTTCTTTCCCTTCCCCTTAAGAGACACACACCCCTTTCCTCCACTGGGTAATCCCAGACTAGTTCTCTACTGCCACCTGGTGGTAAAAACTAGAATGGCAGCGGGAGGGCCACGTATTAAGGGACCCCGGGGACCCTCCCTTTCTTTCTCCAGCACACACCTATTCTGCACTTTTTCCTACAGGTGGCAAATATGTTCCCCGGGCCATACTGGTTGATCTTGAGCCTGGAACCATGGACTCTGTTCGTTCTGGACCTTTTGGCCAGATATTCAGGCCGGACAATTTTGTTTTTGGTGAGTTGAAGTAAATTTTTCTTAAAAAGGTAATAAAAGGGTAGAGAGGTGGTAGCCTTGCCACTGGGAGAGTATGGGGAAGATACTATTTCATTAGTAGTCATTATCTCAGGTAAATTCCCAAATAATCACTCTTGGAATTGAAGTTATTCATTAAGGACGGTGTTGGTTCTTGTTGAATTTGAAATAGAGGCAAATTAGCATATATATATTTTCAGATAATTGAGGAGTCTTTAGGGGGAGCTTATTATCAGTGTAGAATGATGAAGGAAGAGAATTAGGACTTCAAAATTGGGAAATGGGCTCAATGTAGATTGTGGCCTGAAGAGTTCAAGAATGGTAGGTGTGACTTGGATGGAAGGTAGAATAAGGGGAGTGATTGAGGGGTTGAACATTAGATAAGAGGATCTTCTAAGGCAGTGGTGTCAAACTCAGAAAGAGGGGCCACTAAGAATCCTTGCTGGCTGCATAATTAACTTAGAAAACTATACATCGATGTTGTCTGTGTTACATTGAATTTTTATTTAGTTAAAATATTTCTCAATTACATTTTAATCTGGGCATGTTTGACACATCTGTTCTAAAGTGTAGGAGGGTTAAAAAATCTTTAGGTGATAGGGAAAGGGTTGGTGGTAGTGTGGGATATCACAGCATCCCTCCTGATCTACCCTGCCTCCTACCCCCAATTCCAGGCCAGTCCGGGGCAGGCAACAATTGGGCCAAAGGCCACTATACTGAAGGGGCAGAGCTGGTGGATTCAGTCTTGGATGTGGTGCGCAAAGAGGCAGAGAGCTGTGATTGCCTGCAAGGCTTCCAGCTGACCCACTCACTTGGTGGAGGCACAGGATCAGGGATGGGCACCCTGCTCATCAGCAAGATCCGAGAAGAGTACCCTGACCGAATCATGAATACCTTTAGTGTTGTTCCATCACCCAAGGTCTCAGATACCGTGGTTGAGCCCTACAATGCCACTCTCTCGGTCCACCAGTTAGTAGAAAACACAGATGAAACCTACTGCATTGATAATGAAGCACTCTATGATATCTGCTTCCGAACCCTCAAGCTGACCACACCGACCTATGGTGACCTTAACCATCTAGTCTCTGCTACCATGAGTGGTGTCACCACCTGCCTTCGCTTTCCTGGCCAGCTTAATGCTGACCTCCGAAAATTGGCCGTAAACATGGTCCCTTTCCCTCGACTCCACTTCTTCATGCCTGGCTTTGCCCCCCTCACCAGCCGTGGGAGCCAGCAGTACCGTGCCCTAACTGTGCCTGAGCTCACCCAGCAAGTCTTTGATGCCAAGAACATGATGGCAGCATGTGACCCTCGCCACGGGCGATATCTCACCGTTGCTGCTGTTTTCCGTGGTCGGATGTCCATGAAGGAGGTGGATGAACAAATGCTCAATGTGCAAAACAAAAATAGTAGCTACTTCGTTGAGTGGATCCCCAACAACGTCAAGACCGCTGTGTGTGATATCCCACCTCGTGGGCTCAAGATGGCTGTCACCTTCATTGGCAACAGTACCGCCATCCAGGAGCTCTTCAAGCGCATCTCAGAGCAATTCACTGCCATGTTCCGCCGGAAGGCCTTCCTCCACTGGTACACAGGGGAAGGGATGGACGAGATGGAGTTCACCGAGGCTGAGAGCAACATGAATGATCTCGTTTCTGAGTACCAACAATACCAGGATGCCACTGCTGAAGAGGAGGAGGATTTCGGTGAGGAGGCAGAGGAGGAGGCCTAAGGGAGATACCCTGCCACCTCAGTCTTCTCAATTCTCCCAACATTCTTTCCCCATCACCCTTTTCCTCTAAGGTTTGCATTTTCTGCCTCCATTCTCTTTTTCTCTCCTTTGTGGGTGCTGAGCTCTTTGCCCTGTTTTTCCTTCCTTATGACCTGTCACCTCAGTAATATACTCTTTCCTCCCCACTCCCAAATTTCTCTCCAAGAAGCAGAATGTCTCCAACCCAGAGCCTCAATTTAGGGGCCTTTGTGCCCACTAAGTGCCCTGAACTAAAATGGTGACCAAGAGGAAAGGTCCAGGACTTTTTGGCTTCCATTGATGAAGAAGGGGACCAAAATGTCATATTCCTAGTGGAGTTCTCTTGGTGGGTGTTTGGGGGCAAGGGAGGAAATGGAGTGTTCCATAACAGTCTGTTGGGGGAGCCAGGCTTTCTATTATGACTACCCTCTCCAGATACTCCCCAACTTGTCACATTCCTATCTCCAGATGCCCCTTCCCTTTATCTCTCTACCCCAGCTCTGGGGGAAGTGTTGACAGTATTATTCTCCCCAGTTTTGGTTTCTCTCCCAAGTGTTCATTTTTCTTTGGAGGGGTCTGTGCCTCACTCTGCCAGGTGGGCTTCCCCCCTCAGCTCTTTTTCCTCCCCTCATTTTGGGATCCACCCACCCTTCCCCAGTCTGAGAAGTGAGAACTGCTTCAACTCCCAAAATTTCAGAGAAGTCCCTCATTTGGGGAGGATTTCAATTTTCTTCCACTCCCCCCAAAAATCAATTCCCTCCAAAAGAAGGGAGCAGGGGCAACAGGACACTTCCCTTCCCATCATCAAATCTTTCCTCCATTTTCTCTTACCCTTTCCACTTCTGCAATTTCTGTCTTGGGCTCTTCCCCCTCCCACTTCCTAGGTTTCTGTTTTGTGTTGAACTTGCTGCTTTTTTTCATATTGAAAAGACGACGCCCCCAAACCCCAAAATAAACAGGAAATGAGGAAAAAAAATACAAAAGCTTAAGTGTCTGGTTGATTCTTGGAGAGGGAATGGGAGGTGGGGATACAAGGTTTGGTGTGGGATTTGGAGTTCTGTTCCCTCTTCAGTACCCTTCAGATCAGTAGTTGTATGATTTTTTTTTTTTCTATGGGTACTCCCAACATAAATGTCTTCCCTTATATTATAAAACAGGTTGTAATTTAAATTGGAGTAGGAATGGGATTTGGTGAACACTGAAAACAGTTTGCCAGCAGTAGACTTAAGGCAGTGGTTACTCAGGAAAGTTGGAAATACCATATTAATACCAAGGTCTGTTTCTTGAAAGAGGCACCAATTATGCACTCCATTATGCCATTTAAAAGGTCCAAGCAGTCCCTCTCTTTAAGAATCCTTTCTATATTTTCATTCTCGAGTTTATAGAATAGAATTTCTTATTCATTCTAAAGTTATTCTTCAGCTTGAGGAGATGGAGAACCAGTATCCTGGGACTTGATGAAACCTGTATTCACCTTTACCTCCCTTCCATAAATAAACTAACTATATGCTAGGCTTTTCATTAAAGAAAAAGTGAGGGGAAAAGGCCAGAATTCAGGCAGACAATCATTTAATTAGATGGCTAAATAAGTGTATTGGGGATGGGCAGTCACCAGCCTGGGGAAGGACAGCTCCTCCCAGTGTGGGGTTGGGAATGGGGAGCAGCCCCCCACAAGGCACAGGCAAATGAGCAGGAAGGTCTGAAGGCCCCCAGTGTGGAAGGAAGTGGGGCCACTCTGACTAGAATAAAGAGGGCAGGGCTCGATTCAGGAAAATTTCACAGAAGGGTTGACTGGTGCGTGAGGGAATAGGAATTTAATCCATACCCTCCTTTTGTTGTTGCTCCCAAAACTGGCTTGTTCTAATTCACCTGAGGGAAGAGAAAAAGGAAATATTAGCCAAGACCCAGGCTTGTTGATCCATAAAAAAACCCAAATATTCTGTCCCAATTTAAAAGAGTAGAGACTCACTGAAACACACCCTGGAGACTCAACTCCTTTAGGGAAGAAGCAATATCACACAATTACAGGGTTTATACTAGAACCCAGATCTCTTGACAACCAGATTCTCTTTGGGTAGGTACCCATATAGTTCCACTGAAGGCTTCTCACCTGGGAAATGCTGACACCTGTGAGCTTCTCCACACAATTTGGCAGGTGGGTTAGGATATCCAATACTTCCCCGGTTACCTTGGCAGCCCCCAGTGTACCTCCCCCACTAGATACCAGTGTGATCTTTTTGGCAGAACTTAGAGGACCACTGATCTCCTCTGCCACCTAGATGAAGAAGAAAGACCTGTTCAGTAGTCCTTATTCCTTGATGCCTTTACTCTCCAAGGATTCAATTTCAAACCTGAGTTCTCAATCCAGGCCCCTCCCCACCCAAAATTATTCTTTCTTACTAGCTCTCACCATGCTCTATTAAAGCCTGGTCCTGTACACAATAAGCACTTAATAAATGTTGGTTCTGTTAACCTGCTTCGTGATCCAATTTCTGGTTTTATGCCTAGTTTTGGCCTATCTTCCCCATCTCACCATTCCAATCCCTTGGCTTAGGCTCCCAGCATCTACTCATTCATTACTTTCCCTTCTGTTTTCCACTAAACTCCCCTCCTAGGAATTACTGCCCAAAATCAAACCTGGGGCAGTTTCTCTAGCAACATGTCCAGTTGGGCAGCCTCCTGGTACAACTGAAAGGCCTCTGCCTTCTTTGCCATCTGCTCAGCCTCTGCCCGGGCCCGGACCCCTATAGCATATGCTTCTGCTTCCCCACGGATCTGTGGAGACATGAGATTTTGTTTGGGGACAAAAGGAAGACTAGTGCTGGGGACAATACTCCCGGTTGATCCATTCTTTCCCTATCCCTTGACTGACCCGAATGGACTCAGCTTCAGCCTCTGCTTGCATAATCAGCTGGGACCTGAGAAAGAAAAGGGGGAAAAAGCTGTGGGAGTGGGGGTGTTTGCTTCTACCCTAGGGAAGGAGGAAGTGTTCAAGAAGGTTCTCTAATGATGGAAATGATCAGGGTTTTATTAACAAGGCAAGCCACGGTGTAAAAGAACAAAAGTTTTCCCCTGGGGAGACAAGGTTGCAGAGGAGCTAGTTGCCAGGCCTAGTTGTCCACCTCACAGCAAGGGTGAGGGTGGGGTGGCCCCCTTACCTCTCTGCCTCAGCTAGTCTTTCTAGGCGGTATCGCTCAGCCTCTGAGGGCTTCTTCACTCGAGCTTCCAGCTCCTTCTCTCGACGAGTTATCTCCTGTTCTTGCAATGCAACCTGCTGGGTCCGCTCCACCACCTGCACCTGTACTCGCTGCTCCTCTATATGCTGCTTTGTCTTTGCTACCTGCGTGAATTAGGGACCACAAGTCAGTCACATACAGTGAGCCAGATAGTGTTCAGATACCAAGAATGAGAGTATGATGTTTAGAGTTAAAGGTAACAATAACCACATAGGGTTAGACATCCCACCTAACCCTCTATATTCTTTTGTTTTTAATAAGGATATTGAAGACATGGTGTGTAGGGAGGGCCTTACTGTCCTCCCCTAAGTCAACCTCAAATGTTTAGGACTTCTCCTAAAAACATTCCTAACTCACTGGCCCATACTACCATTGCAGTAGTCTAGTGCTACTTTCTAATGGGTCTTCCTGCTTCTATTTTCCATACTCTAAATTATCCTTCAGATTGATTTTCCTTTTATAGATTCAATCATATCATGAAGCTCAACGATCTTAAGTAGTCCCCTAATAAATAAAGTAGAAACTTTTTTGTCTAGCATTCGAGGCTCCCTACACCTGGTGCCAACCTTATGTTCCATTTAAAGTTGACTGCTTTTTGCACCTCCCCCCAACTTCCCTGATAAACATACTGCATTAATTACTGTCTCCTTGTCTGTTCCACACACCTAGAATACCCTCCCTTTCCCATTTTGGCCTAGCTATCCTTTGAAACTTAAATGAATGCTACCTTCTCCAAAGTCTTGCTTGATACCTTATTGATAATGACAACCCTCGGACCTCATGAAGCCTTTTGTTCTGAAACTCTCTAACGATAATATACACAATATTACCTGTCTGTGTCTTATCCTTCCCCCTTGCAACTAAGTTCCACTAAGCCAGAAACTGTATCTTTCTAAACTTTGTATCACTTTCCTCAGTACAACGGTTTGTACACAATAAACACTTAATAATTTGTTGATTGTATGAGAGAACACATCAAAACTCTTTAGAAATAATTTGTTTTCAGCCCATACTATCTGTTGGCCTATGGCATTCCATTAAGGTCACTATTCAATACCCACCTATCAAGTTCTTTCTTTGATGGGTCCTAAACTTACCTTTTTCAAGCTTCAAGAGTTAATTAGCTCTGTGCAGAATGTCAGAATTGGGTGTAGTCTGAAATCTTGTATCATCAGCCACAATCACTATATTAAGCATTTTGTTTAACTTTTGGGAAAGTGGTTTTTTTGGAGGGGAGGGGACTGTATCTATTGTAGCCAACGTATCAATTAAAAAATTTTATGTTTAAAAAAAAAAAAAAAACAAAAACCCAACAAAACAAAAAACCAAATACCTGTCTCTTTTCCCTTCCCCCATATCCTTAAAAGCTATGACCTTTGTTTATCCCCCCTCTTTTGTCTTTCTGATACTTTTAGTATTGTGGAAAAGATAGGGAAAGCAGGTCAGACTTGGGAAATCAAAGATAGTGTTAAAAATAAAGATGTCCAAACACGGAAGGCTAGCAAAAGAAAATGGGAGAGTAAGAATCAGAATTAGGGACTTGGGGGTAAGAGGTCTGACACTGAAGTCTGGCATGGGTGCCTCTGACCTGCAGCTGGTAGGCCAGGTCAGCCTGTGCACGTCGGGTGTTGACCTCAATGTCATAAACAGCCTTCTTCAGCTCATAGTCCCTTTGTGCCTTGGCCATCTCTATCTCACTCACGTACTGAGCAGATACCTTCTGTTGTTTTGCTTTTGCCTCCTGTTGGGGCAGAAGTCATTGTCAAGATAAAGGTGGTGATGGAATGACATTTCCTAACTCCCTGAGTCTCAATTTCCTCATCTGGAAAATCTCTAAGGTCATTTCTAGGTCTAGATCCTTTGACTGAAAAGTGAGAAGAGAGACAGCTAGGTGGCGCAGTGGATAAGCACCGGCCCTGAAGTCAGGAGCACCTGAGTTCAAATCCAGCCTCAGACCAAACACTTGACACGTACTAGCTGTGTGACCTTGGGCAAGTCACTTAACCCCAATTGCCTTACCCCCCCCAAAAAAAGAAAAGTGAGAACACCTCGGAAACATTTATATCACCCCACCTCCCCCAGGTCCTCACTCTGGCTTCCTACCAGCCTCTTCCCCTTCAAACAAATTCTACCCACTTAACCTCCATTCCCCTGAACTGAGCACAAAATATAACATGATATCTTAGAACATTAGAGGTCAGTCTAACGTCTAGTCAGACACTAGAGGTAGTCTAAATTTCCACCACTACCACCATTTTACAAATGAGGACACTGAGGACCAGAGAAATAAAGTAATTTATCTAAGTTCACATTGCTAGTAAGTGTCAAAGCCAGGGATTAATTTAGATTTTCTGATTTCAAGCCCAGTGCTTTTTCTGTGACATCATGCTAGCTCACATATGGCAAATATTTGCTAACTGACTGAACCCAATCTCTTTCCCTGCCCCTCTCACCTGGATCCCAGCATCTCTTTTGGCCTCAGCTTCCCCAATACGTGCATCTTTCTGGACCTGAGCTGTTCGAGCCTTCCCCAGGGAATGCAGATAATCCTGTGGGAAAGAAATACAGGATTATAGATATTGGATGCCTAAATCCTCTTGGAGAGAAAGGGGGAGATATGAGCTAAGAATGAGGGAGGGAGTGATAGCTGAACCTCTGGTTCACCTGGTCATCATGAATATCCTTGAGAGTATAGCTAACAACACTGATGCCCATGTTGACGAGGTCAGATGAAGCTACTTTGAACACTTGCTCTGAAAACTTCTGGCGATCCTTATAGATCTCCTAGGGGAGACATGGCACAAAGAAGGTGATTTAAAATCTATGTCCCACCATCCTTTCGTCCCCAGGCCCACCTCTTCATTTCTTCAGAACCCACCCATGTAGCTTTCCCAGGCCCATCTCTTCAGTTCCTAAGTTCCCTCGTCCTAACCCACCTCTACTGTCATGTGGGCCATGATCGCCCTCTGGTGGCCCTCCAAAGTCTCCAGTGCAATGTGGGCAATTTCACCCTCAGTCTTCCCCAGGAACATCTGACAGGCAGCAGCCAACATCTCCTTGTTCTGGCCTTGGATCTTCACCTGGGGACAAAAAGGGGTTGTTGGGGAGTTTGGGGAGAGTATAACTTTCCTCTCCAGGGAAAGAATGCAAAAAAAGGTTTCTTATCAATTTTTTATATCCAGAGAGAAAAGAGGTTTATAGCATCCTGTTAAGAAAATAGGGTGGAGAGGGGGCACAGTGGATAAAGCTCAGGCCTTGGAGTCAGGAGGACCTGAGTTCAAATCCAGGTCTCAGACACTTGACACTTACTAGCTATGTGACCTTGGGCAAGTCACTTAACCCCAACTGCCTTACCCCCCCAAATAAAAAAAGCAAACAAAAAAGAAAATAGGGTGGAGGAACAGTTGCTTTTGGGAGAAAATTCATATCTTCCAGCAAGGAGAAAGAAGGGTGAGGCAAATAACAATAACCAGATTGGGGGAGTGGGAAGGGAGAAAGAGAAAGAGAAACAGAGACAGAGAGAGACAGAGAAACAAAGATGGATGGGATAATGAGCTTCAAAAAAAGTAGGCTCACACCCTCACCTGGGCAATGCCAGTAACTGATATGGGAACCCCATGACGAGTATAGACCTTCTCACTCTTGACATTGAGGGTCAGTGTGTTGAGAGAGATTCTGGAAAAAGAAAGTAAGGCTATGAGGAATAGAAGAAAGGAAAGAGAATTTAATGTCCCTCTCTCTGCAATCTCCTTCTCACCTACCTCCTGATCTGTTGTATACAGGGCACAACAAAGACCCGGCCTCCTGCCACCATGACAGGGGGGCTTCTGCAGAAACCTGCAAGAATTGAGGACAATGAATCTGGCTGGGAAGGGAGTATGGCATTCCCAGGATTGAGAAGGACAAAGGGAATTAGAGGAGAAGAGCTAATATGAAAGACAAAGCTAATGTATAGGAAACTGAGAAGCAGGTGGAAGGAAGGGATGATATATTAGAGGGAAAACAGACCTGTGGTAAGGGTAGGGCAGTCAAGAGTTGTGGGAAGGGAGCTAGATGGGAAGAAAATAAAATCTGCAAAGGCAGAGAAGGGGTAATCACAGATGCTTTGTGAACCTTAAAGTGCCATATAAGTTATTATTAGCAGAGGAAATTGAGCTAGGCATTATGTGTGTATGTGTGTCTGTGTGTGTGGGGGTAATAAGCTTGGGGAGTGGTCGAATTTTTGGTTCCTTTGGAGGATCTGGAGAGGGAGGGAAGGGTAATAACACTTACCCGAGACCACCATAGCCTCATTTGGGCCACAAGTGAAAAACATGCTTCAGGGAGGGGCTAGAACGGGAGGGGAAAGACATGATTTTTAGGGGTCAGCAAGGGAAATGATGGAATTTATATACCCAAGCCCCGCCCACCCCAACCCCAATCCCAACCCCCAACCCTTCTTCACTGCCACCTTTTCCCACTCTGCATTGCTCACTTCACTGCTGTAGCATCTCTCTGGATCCCTAGGTTTTAACCAGACTCCCCTCCTCCCCCGCCCACCTTTCGACCCCAGCCCCATTACTGCACCCTCCCCAACACGCGCACACACGGACGCACACACATACCTACACACGTACACACAAGAACACAAACACGCGCGCACACACACACGCGCGCGGGCTGGACGCCAGACGTTTCCCTACGCCCCAGGCGTCGCCTGGGTCCCCCGCTTCCTAGCCCTCACCTCCTCTAGGGGTGCAGGGTGCGCGGCCCCGGGGGCGGAGGGGAGGCGGCTCGAGGAGCAGAAGCCCGCGTCCGCTCTCGCCCAGGGGCAGCCAGGCAGGCTGTGGCTCTCTCTGTGCCGGCGCTCCCCTCCCCCGACGTCTCCCCAAGGCCAACCGCGCCCAGTTGCTGCCGCAGAGCCCGGATCCCGCCCCCGGCGCTTGACCAATCTCCCCTCCGAACCCTCCCCCCGCGAGACCCCGCCCCCTTCCCGGCAGCTCCCGCGCCTCCTCTGCTGCGGCTTTTGCTGCTGCTGCGGGAGCCCTGGAGGAACGCAGGGGCTGCTGAGGCGGGTGGGCACCGGGGTTCCTCTGCGCGTCCCGCCCCCTGCTCTCTCCTCGGCCCTTCCTGGCCCCTTGCCTTCTGGCTCCTTCCACCCCTGTGCCCCCGGGCAGGCTTCCGCCCCGAGGATGTTGCTCCATCCTGGGTTTGCCCGGTGTCAGTAACCGTGTGCGATCATATCCGGCTGTCGGAAATGGGGCGCTGAACGCCTGGTTCAGGGCAGATTCTTTTTTTTTTCTTTCTTGGAAGGAGAGAGCTTATCGAGGGGCCAGATACCCGAGCTCAGACTGAAGAACAAGTGATAGTGTAACCGTCTGCCTCCTCATATTTTACAATGCGTGGCACAGGACTTGGCACACAGTAGGAGTTAAATAAAGGCTTCTTCTTAGATCACTTGGTCAGATCGCTCCTTTGCCTGCATAGTCAGTCAGTCAGTCAGTCAGTCAAGATGCACTTACTAGGTGCCAGGCACTTATTCAAGTGTTGGAGGTACAAAGAAAGGCCCTCAAGGAACAAAAAATTGTATAAACAAGATCTGTACAGTGAAAATGGAAGGTACTCTCAGAGGGAAGACGATGAAGGACGAGGAGGAATCAGAAACACTCAATTTACCTTGTACTGTACTCCTTTCCCTGTCCCTTCCTCTCCTATTAGACTGGAATCCCCTTGAGTTGCTGGACTCTTTGTTTCTGGAATCTTTTAATTCCCGAGGCACTAGCCTTGTTTAATAAATGTTCTTCATCGCCTTTGATGTAAGTTATCTATCCGTTCCCTGATTTAATGAATCAGGAATTGGATGTGATGGATCTGAAAGGTGCCTTCCAGCTCAAAATATACCTATGATCTCAATATTGCAAATTTCCTCCATGAGAAGAAATTAGTTGGAGGTCAGTGGGGACTTTAGGATGTTCAGGAACTAAGGGATCTCATATAGAACTCATAAGATCATAGATTTAGAGCTGAAAGGGACCTAAGAAGATATTGATCTAATCTTCTCATTTTACAGATTAGGAAATGAGGCCCAGAGAATATCTCTAATATATCCTTTATGTATCTTGTTGGTACATAGTTATTTGCATGCTGCCTTCCCCATTAGACTGGAAGCTCCTTCAGAGCAGGGACTTTCCCCCCCTTTCTTTGTATCCCCCATTGCCTGGCTAGTAGGCATTTTATAAATGATTGTTTAAGCTGACCAGAGAGGTTAATTCACTACCCCAAGGTTGCACAGCTAGCATTTGACAGAACCAGTATTGAAGCCAGATCTGCTTCATTTGGACTCCAAGTCTAATGAAGTCTTTTCATTACACTGAAATACACTTGATCCTCACAATAATTCTGTGAGGTAAATAGTGAAAGTAGCATTAATTACCTTTTCACAGATTTGATCTAGTGATTTCATCAGTATAAGGAACTCCAGGCATGGGAATTCCCTCCACAAACAAAAGTTGGAATTTGTCTGTAACTTATCTGAATCTTAGAGTTTCCTGGGATCATAAATCACTTTTGAAGTTGAACAGCTGGTGTGTCAAACGCAGGACCTTTACAATCCCAGGGCTTCTTGACACCAAGGTTTTGCCTTAATCCATTTTTCCAAGCTGCCTCTCATTCCCATTTTACAGATAAGGAAAATAAAGCTTTGAGAAATTGAAGTGACTTTTCCAAAGTCAAATAACTAGGAAAAGAACTAGTTTTATTCCAACTCCAATCCTCTTTGTGTTATATCAAGTTGCTATTCTCAAGTGAAAAGAACCAGTCACAAGGCGCAAGTTGGTTTCCAGGAGTAAAATCAATTTTATTTGCTGTTCATAGAACATACAAGGCAACAGACCCACCCCACACCCCAGCCCCTTGGGGGCAGTTTCTGAGTAATAGGTGGTCAATGAACCCTTTAGCCCTTATGGGGCCTCACATAAGTAGGCCCCACTGAGTTACGATGTGTTTGTGGGGTGGATATTGTCACCCCTAAAGGTACTACCCCTATCACTCTCACTCCTTCTTTCCCAACCCTGCCCTTGATTCAGTTCCCCAGTCCCAGTCACCCACCACCTCCCAATTCCTGTTAATTCCTTTTCCAGGCCTTCTCTCCACCCTCAGCTTTAGTTTGATCTAGGGAGTCCTAACTTAAGCAGCTCACTAGCATATCTCAATAAATAAAACAGAAACAAAATTTCATTGCAGAAAGTTGGAGGCACATCTCTCCTCTCCAACATATAAATTAAAATAAATATTACATATACCTTTGCCCCATCACCACTACCACCCCACCCCACCCTGGGGGGGGAATGGTACATAAATAAAAACTGCATATAAATATTATTACCTAGGAATGACCAGCAATAAATTAACTGCACCAAAGATGGCAAGACAAGTCTCTCTACCCTCCATTTACTCCAGCTCTAGGACTTGGACCCTGTGGCACTGACGTCATTCTTTGGTTTTAGTGTTCTAAATTCGAGAGTGTCCCAGCTCCAGCTTCAGCTTGGCACACGCCATTTCGGTACCCCTCGATTCTGTGTTTCTTTTTGTTTTTTCTTTTTGTTGTTGTTGTTGGGGAGTAGGGTTGTGGCTCAGAAGGCTGCAGGGTGCTGTTGGAGGAAGGTGCTGATGTCCACGGTGTAGTCCGGGGGCTCAGACGTCAAGTTCTGGGACTCCACAGCTGGAGGCGCTGGAGTGGGGTCGTTGGCCGCTTCTTCCAGCGCTGGAGGCACTGGACCTCCCTCCTCTGCCATCAAAATCTGACAAAAGACTACAGTGAGGAGGAGGAAGAGGAGCCGTCTGGCCGGATTGGGGTCCTCTGCCGGTAGCTGGCGTCGAACCTGAGAAGGAATGTTATAAAGTAGTAAGAAAAGACTCAGGCATCCAGTTGCCTCAACTGGTCCCTCAGACCAAAGAGCCAAGTCCTGTGGCCCCACTCTGTCCTTCCAGTTCTCCCTACGTTCTAGGTCTTGGAGATGGAACACTCACCATTCGAGGGTAGAGGACCTTGCGGCTGCGCTTGCGAATTACCCTGTGGGCAATGCTGGAGCGGGCCGGTCGGTAAGTGGCAGGCTCCGGGAGGGGGTCGAAAGTAAAGATCTCCGGCCCGGACTTTCGCCGAAGCCCAGGACTGGGGATAGGGCCCGGGGTTGGGGCCAAGGTGATGGGCGCAGCAGGAACGGAGCCTCGATTATGACACATGGTGCTTAGAGCTGAAGCGAGGAGTGGAGACTGTGCCTTAAACCGAGCTAGTTATGGAACAGGCTGGGCAGGACCGCCCCCATCATATCTTAGCGCTATTGGGTGACGGGGCAAAAGCAGGAGGAGACAGGGAAATTCCTACGGGTTAGGCAAGGAGAAGCGGTGGGGGTGGGGGTAGAGGAGCAAGACTACGCAATACCGGGCACCCTCGGTGGGAGGGGGATATGGGGGAGGCTAGAGACATAGTCAGCTGGACTGGAAAGTGGGTGTGGGCACATGTCCCGACTCGTGGCTTCCACAAGAATTTAAAGACAAAAATACATAGTCATGTATACACACGTAGACAGCTCAATAATTTTGGTGAATTACAAAATCAAGGAATTTGAAAGTTGGAAGGGACCTCAAAGGCCATTTAATCCAACACATAACCAAAATAATCTCCACTATATCTGACCACCTTCTACTTGAAGACTTCCAAGGAGGGGGACCCATCACCTTTCAAGACTTTTGGACAGCTCTAATTAGTAGGAAGATTTTTTTTCTGTCATAGAGCCTAAAGTTGCCTCTTTACAATTTCCACCCATTAATTCTGGTTCTGTCCTCTGGAATCCAACAGAATAAGTCTAATTTTTCTTACACATGAAACTCTTTTGAATACTTGAAGACACATCATATTCCCGCTGAATCTGCTTTTCTCCAAGCTAAATATTCTCATTTCCTTTAAGCAATCCTCCTACCACCTGGACTCAAGCCTTTTCACTATCCTCGTTATTTTCCATTGTATACTTTCCAGCTTATCAATATCTTTTTAAAACTGTGGCTTCCAGAGAATAGTAGGACTATCTATCAATCTCCTTTGTCTACACTTCTTTGTACCACTTCTTCTGTGAATGCAGTCTTAAGTTTTGTAATGTCAAAGGAAGGGGTATGGAGCCCCCATGTGTAGTTTTTTCCCTTTGTGTAACACACAAAGTTACACATTGCTGTGTGTAAACTGTGTGTTTACATTCTTCATTCAATGAACTTATTATTGAATATTATGTTTGACATGGAGAGGGATACACAAACAGCACGATACAATGGTGAAAAGAGTACTAGATCTGAAGTCAGGACATCTAGTTTTGAATCCCTTTTCTATTTACTAGCCTATATAACCCTGAGTAAGTCATTTCTCTCTGAGTCTCAATTTCTGACTTTGAAAAATGAAGGAGCTGAGTGGGAGTGTGACATCTTGGAAAGATTTGGAATCAGAAGATTTCAGTTTGGATCCTGACATTGCCACATCTATTCTCCTGCCTGACATTGGGCAAGTGATTTAACCTCTCCTGCCCTCAATTTTCTCATCTATAAAATGAGGTAGTTGAATAAGATGGTTTACCAAGTTCCTTTTAGCTCTTTATGAATGATACAATACCTTCTAAGTTTAAGTTCTATGATCCTATAGAATACATAGAATACAGATTATATCCACAAGTGCATTTACTTCTGGCTGTAGGATGAGTCTGATGGAAATGTATAGACAAATACTTTTCTGTGTCTCTTCTTGAATTTTGCTTCTTTTTTTTTTTTTTTTTTTGGGTGAGGCACTCAGGGTTAAGTGACTT